TTTGGTCGGTTGTGTACTCTTTATTAAAAGCTATGGAAGATGAACATATTGTAGAAAATCTTCAACTAGAAATTAAGCCAGTTATTCAGGAATTGCCCCTCACAGAGGAGGAGCAGAATGTAGTTCAAAATGACGCTATCGCTTTAAGTAGTGAAAAGGCGTCCAAACTAAAAGTAAAATCCACTACAGCCGACTCAGCTTTAGCTGCCGCAGCAATATCAAATTATGACAATCGCCCAATTTTACAGGCTATACAGCATTTAACACAAGAGGTGAAACAACTCTCCGTTAAGCAAAACCCGCCTATAATTCCCTCTGCACCTCCTCCATCTAACCCTAATTGGAGTAAAGCCAAGCTAGCTTTGGCTGATCTACCAAAATTAGGGGATTCTGATGAGGAAAAGCCTGCCTTTGCTTTCCCTGTAATCAGGCCTCAGCCAATAGATGGAGAGGCAGTTCCCCCTAGATGGGAAGCATTTAATATGGATGATTTAGCAAAATTAAAAAAGGCTGTAACCCTTTATGGCCCTCAGGCTCATTACACTAGAGAATTAATAACATCAGTAACAGATCAGTATGGTAATCTTGCTCCTTATGATTGGAAAGCCTTGACCAAAATTCTTTTAAAGGAGCCAGAATATTTACAGTGGCACATGTGGTTTATGGAAGGTTGTGCGAAAAAGGCAAGACAAAAATGCTAATATAGTGATAGAAATGTTTTAAAAGATATTTTAAAAACTTTACCTCAATATTTTTCTCCGTTTGGACTTGTAATAGCACAGGATAAAATTCAAAAGGAAGAAGTTAGTCACTATTTGGGATATATTCTTACTAGACAAAAGGTGATTCCACAAAAAATGTCTATTAGGAGAGATAAGTTATCCACTTTAAATGATTTTCAAAAATTATTAGGGGATATTAATTGGCTTCGTCCCACACTAGGTATTCCTACCCATGCATTACAACATTTGTTTGCTACTCTACAGGGCTCTTCAGATCCATCCAGCCCTCGTTCTTTAACAGCAAAAGCAGAGCAAAAATTACAGTTTGTAGAACAACGAATTAAGGATGCATTTTTAATTAGGATTGATCCTAAATTGCCTCTAACTTTATATATTATTAATACTTTTCAATATCCCTCTGCAGTTTTAGGTCAAAATGCTATGCCAGTAGAATGGGTATTCACTAAAACTAAGCAATCTAAAAATGTTATGCCTTATATTGACATGATTGCAGCTTTAATTATGAATGGTAGAGCTCGTTCTATAACTTTGATAGGAGAAGATATAAACAATATAGTTATCCCTTTAACTAAGGAACAATGGGAATATTTGTTGTCAATTACTGAAACCTTACAAATTGCTTTAGCAGATTTCATGGGAACTTTTTCATATCATTTTCCTAAAAGTAAATTATGGGATTTTTTTAGACGTCAACAATTTGTGGTTAATACCTTATTAGCTGTACAGCCAATTCCACAAGCTTTGACTATATTTACAGATGGATCTAAAAATAAAGCTGCATATTGGACTCAAAAATCTTACTGGGTACGTCAGACAAATTTTAACTCTGTACAACAAAATGAACTTTTTGCTATATTACAAGTGTTTTTAGATTTTCATAACCAACCTATTAATATTATAGCCGATTCGGCCTATTCTGTTGGAGTAGTGACAAATATCTATTCAGCTGTGTTATATTCTAATAAGCCTGCTTTATTGTCTTTATTTCAAAATTTACAAATACATGTTCAAAAAAGAAATCATTCTTATTTTATTACTCATTTACGTTCTCATTCTCAGTTACCCGGACCATTAGTATCAGGTAACAATGCAGTGGATTCCTTAGTTATGTTCACCACACCCGTTGAAGAACATCAATTTAATCATGCAAATGCAGGACATTTGCATCTTAAATATAAGATACCTTTTACAAAAGCTAAACAGATTGTAAAAGCCTGCCCTATTTGTAGACCATTACATTTAAGAATTATTCCCGCAGGTGTCAACCCTCGAGGAACTCAACCTAATGAATTATGGCAAATGGATATTACACATGTACCTTCTTTTGGTCGGCTTTCTTATGTACATGTAGTTATTGATACCTATTCTTCATTTCTATGGGCTACTGCTCAACAGGGAGAATCCACTAAAAATGTTATTGTACATTTATTGGAGACTTTTGCAGTTATGGGAATTCCTTCTAAAATCAAAACAGATAATGGACCTGCTTATACTAACAGAACATTTAAACAATTTTGTGATCTCCATAATATTATTCATATTACAGGGATTGAATATAACCCCCAGGGTCAAGCTATTGTTGAAAGAGCACATGGCACTCTTAAGTTGCAAATTAAAAAATTAAAAAGGAGGAGTCAGGAGGATATTCAGATACCAATACTGTTTAAATTGCAAAACAGTCCAAAAACATTACTGCATCAAGCATTGTTTATTTTAAATTTTCTCAATTTACCACAAGGTGAAATATTAACAAGAGCTGAAAAACATTTTGAACAGCAACAACAGCCTTTTGTGATTAATGAACCTATTTGGACTAAAACAGCTCCAGAGGCTGAATGGGAGAGGGGCACATTGCTCTATAGGGGGAAAGGTTTTGGTTATATCTCCACAGAAAATGGAATTCAGCAGTGGGTCCCTGGACGATGGATCAGGACCCGCGTCTCCAGATCCTGTTCACCAGCCCCGGAGACAACTCCCCAAGGAACCGGAACCGTGCCTTCAGAAGCGAGCGCGAAACCAGCTAGAAGCTGAGGATGCTGAGTTTGTTCCTATCGCAGCCATGGCCAGATTACAGCTAAGAAAATCCCGCCGCTCACAGCGACCAAATTTAAATCCCCTCCCTACATGGGGACAATTAAAGAAATTGACCATAGAAGGGCAACGGCTTGTCCTTCAAGCAGGAAAGCCTTTAAACCCTGAAAACTTGTTTTTAGCTTTATGTGCCTTGCTCACCGTTGCATCGGGGACTGAGGTACCTCCGCATTCGTACTGGGCATATATTCCAAACCCCCCTTTATTAGAACCTGTAAAATGGGGAACTAGTGATATTTTACTTTATACCACACCTAGAGAAATTTTGTCAGCACCGTGGGCTGATTTAACCCCCCACAATCAAGATGATGGGACACTATTCAATTTTACTTATTATGGTAATCAAAGGCCTATTTGCATTGGGGAACCGCCTTGCATCCCTCTGGGATGGCAGTATTGGATTCAACATGGAATAAAAGCAGGCAACAAAAGAACAAGGCTTCAAGCCTTGGCTGCTCAAACCTTTAATGTTACCTGGAGAAATTTAACAGCACCTGATACAAATACATTTCCTGTATGCCCTGAATTTACTTATAAAAATATTTCTTATAATCCCATAATTTGGCAACTATGTATGGGAAAATTTGCTAAAAATATTGATGGGTATATTATTTGGGGACCATTTGGAAAATTCGTTAATGGATGTGCTGAATGGAATGAGACAAGATGTAATCTCTCTGTTGTGTATAGTCTTCCAGATCCAAAGAAAATAACTGACGGAGCTCCTATATTTCAACAAAAGACGGCTCTCTTGTGGTGGGGAGATGGTGGAATCGCTAACCCTGCTGTTGCAGCCGAAGAATACCCTCATCACCTTCAAAATCATATTTGGAAGATCCCAGCCGCTATGCAACCTGTAACCTTGTACAATGTTTCATATTCAGGGACTAGTCGATCTGTATCTACTACTTATAATTTTACTAGGTTTAAAATGTATAATATTACTGTTTGTGCACCTCTACCTTATGTCTTTTTAGTGGGAACTTTTAATTTTACACATTTTTCTTGTACTTGTTTAAATTGTCAATTGTTTACATGCTTAAATAGCACACTAAATTTCACTAAGCCTTATACAGTTATGCTGTTACAACAAAAAACTCATATTTGGTTGCCTGTAAATTTAACTCGACCTTGGTCTCAAGACCCGGTAATTTCTGTTACTACTGAATTTTTTAAACATCTGTTAAAACGTACAAAAAGATTTATTGGAATAGTGGTTGCTGTACTGTTAAGTCTGATAACTGTAGCCTCTCTAGCAGCAGTCTCAGGAGTAGCTTTACATACCTCTTTGCAAGAAAAACATGTTGTCGAATTATGGCATGAGAATTCTCATGAACTTTGGTTAACTCAGTGGCAAATAAACGTCAGACTACAACAACAAATAGACCTCCTTAAACAAACAGTTGAATGGATGGGTAGAAAAATATTGGCTCTTCAGCATCAAGTGTTTTTAAAATGTGATTGGAATTCAACTACTTTCTGTATAACCCAACGACCTTATAATCAGACAGAACTTGAATGGGAAATGATTAGAATGTATTTAAATGGAAACACCTCTGCCCAGGAGGAAATAGAATCTTTGCATAATCAAATTGACAAGGATTTTGCAAAGCAAAATGATGATGAATCTCTAGCACAATTCGCGCAATTGCTTGCTCAATCTTTGAAAGGATTAGATTCCAAAGGAATCTGGCAGAGCATTACCCACACTTTTAGTGGCATGGGACTTAGTTTAATTATAGTTCTCATTGCCATAGTTCTTGTGTATTTTTACTGCATAAGACGAAATGCTATTAATAACCTGATCTTATGGAAATTGTTGTTAAAAAATAAAAAGGAAGGAAGTGTGGGGGATGAGGTGTCACTTTGTAGGCCCAACCCCCTCTAACCTGCAATTTACAATAGCCGCCCTGGTATGCGAGAAGGAGGTAGAACGGAAATGCCTGTTCTCAGTGAGCCCTCACCCTCTGGAATCCATACTGTGAGCTGGCTTTGTTTTGCAGAAGTCTTGAGGAAGTGGCTGGCCACCCTTTGTGACACTAACAGCAGACAAATTAACAACATTCTTGAGCTAATGAATTTCTTCCTGGGCTAGAGAAGTTGTGAGAACTGGTTGTGATTATTTACTTCACTTAGATAGTTTTAGAATAAACATTGTAGTCTGTCACGTTGTAGCTTGCCACAAAGAATGCCTTTTCACTACTTAATTATCTGGGCTCTGTGAATTGATCGGGTTTACTATATATGAATCCTAAAATAAAGATTGTGCGTACAGTGCAGTGCAGTGCAGTGTAACGCGGTGCAGACAGCAAAGGTGTCTCTCCTGTCTTTCTTTTCCAAGCGCTGTACCCCCCGTGTCCCGACAAGGCGTGCGTGTTTACCTTGCCCGGAGTTCAGAGTGCTCTAGACACTCACGACATAAGATGTCTCATAAGTGTGAGATTGTTCATATATTTCACAAGTCCTGTGTAGTAAAAGCTTTCCCAAATTGCTCATATACATAAGAGTTCTCACCAGTGTGAGACTTTTCATGTAGTTTACAATTAACTCTGTGTGCTGAAAGCTTTCCCACATTGCTTCATACATAAGGTTTCTCACCAGTGTGAAAACTTTCATGTAGTTTACCATAACTCTGTATGCTGAAAGCTTTCACATATTGATTACTTGTAAGGTTTCTCACCAATGTGAGTTCTTTCATGTCTTTTACAATGCTCCTGTTTACTGAAAGCTTTCCCACATTGCTTACATACATAAGGTTTCTCACCAGTGTGAGATATTTCATGTACTTTACAATAACTCTGTGTGCTGAAAGCTTTCCCACATTCCTTACATACATAAGGTTTCTCACCAGTGTGAAACCTTTCATGTCTTTTACAATGCTCCTGTTTACTGAAAGCTTTCCCACATTGCTTACATACATAAGGTTTCTCACCAGTGTGAAACCTTTCATGTAGTTTACAATAACTCTGTGTGCTGAAAGCTTTCCCACATTGCTTACATACATAAGGTTTCTCACCAGTGTGAAAACTTTCATGAAGTTTACAATAATTCTGTGTGCTGAAAGCTTTCCCACAATGTTTACATACGTAAGGTTTCTCAACAATGTGAGACCTTTCATGTAGTTTACAATTCCTCCGTGTGATGAAAGCTTTTCCACATTGCTTGCATATGTAAGGTTTCTCACCAGTGTGAATCATTTCATGAAGTTTACAAGAGCTATGTATGCTGAAAGCTTTCCCACATTGCTTACAGGCATAAGGTTTCTCACCAGTGTGAGATCTTTCATGTAGTTTACAATAACTCTGTGTGCTGAAACCTTTCCCACATTGCTTACATACATAAGGTTTCTCACCAGTGTGAGATCTTTCATGTAATTTATAAGAATTCTGTGTGATGAAAGTATTCCCACATTGCTTACATACATAAGGTTTCTCACCAGTGTGAGATATTTCATGTAATTTACAGTAACTCTTTGTTGTGAAACCTTTCCCACATTCCTTACATACATAAGGTTTCTCACCAGTGTGAGTTCTTTCATGTCTTTTACAATGCTCTTGTTTACTGAAAGCTTTCCCACATTGCTTACATACATAAGGTTTCTCACCAGTGTGAAACTTTTCATGTAGTTTACAATAACTCTGTGTGCTGAAAGCTTTCCCACATTGCTTACATACATAAGGTTTCTCACCAGTGTGAGATCTTTCATGTAGTTTACAGTTCCTCTGTGTGGTGAAAGCTTTCCCACATTGCTTACATACATAAGGTTTCTCACCAGTGTGAGATCTTTCATGTATTTTACAAGAACTCGGTGTGCTGAAAGCTTTCCCACATTGCTTACATGCATAAGTTTTCTCACTAGTGTGAATCGTTTCATGTAGTTTACAATAATTTTGTGTACTGTAAGCTTTCCCACATTGTTTACATACATAAGGTTTCTCAGCAGTGTGAGATTTTTCATGACTTTTATAATTTCTCTGTATACTGAAAGTTTTCCCACATTGCTTACATACATAAGGTTTGTCACCAGTGTGAGTTTTTTCATGTCTTTTAGAATACTTCTGTGTACTGAAAGCTTTCTCACATTGTTTGCACACATTGTTTTTCTCTTCCATCTCAATTATTGCATGTTGTTGAGAAATAGAATGTGTGCTGAAAGCTTTCCCACATTGCTTACATACAGCGGGTATACCACCCCTGTGGTTTGTCTGATACATCTGAACATCACTAGGTTTGCTGGAGACATTTAACTTTTTTGGGCATGCAAATGTCTTGTCTCTAAGATGAGTTCTTTCACTAAGACTAGAGCAAGATTTCTCACACTGATCATGTTCACATGTTTTCTTGCAAGCCTCTGTCCTTGCATGATTCTGAAATGACTGCAAATCATTCCAGTTTTTTCTATTTTCATTATATTTAAACAGCTTCCCTTTAATTTCAAAATAGTTATCAGGCTTTACTCTACTGTGAGCTCTGATGGGCATGTTTAGTGAAAAAGGCCCAATCTGAAGCTTTCTACAAGAAAGACTTTCAATTGGTTTTAAACTACATGGTTTCATATGGACATTAGCATCTTGAGTGCAGAGGAAGCATTCTTTATCCTGATTCCAGCCTTTATATTGATAGCATTTCTCAGTGTCTTCATTTCTGTAAAAGATAAAGAAGACAATATAAAATGGCTGTCCATACCAATGATTTAATAGAGCACATTCTTTTTTAATGAATTATAAAAATGTGATAATAAATTAAAGAATAAAAAGAAGACCTTTGGAGAAAGGTTTTCCTTAAAAAGTGGTATGTTTTCAAAAATTTTCTGTTGGTATATTTTATAATACAGTAATTTTAGTTTTATTTTGAGTAACTTATGTGTAACACATATTGATTAATTTTAATACCATTTCCTATTCAATCTTCATGTTGTACTCTTATCCTATTTGTCTTGCCTATCTATAAAATATTAATTTCCTTTATCTATCACCTCTCATCTACAGCTATACAAAACACCTAAATGCAATGTTATACGTATTCATGATGTTGATGATAAAGGAACATTTTTTATATTACAAATCTAATAGTGTCACTTGTATGATTTCACTTGTAATAGCATTTCTTATGTTAGAATATTTTTGTGTTTAGTTTTCATACTGTACGACTCAAGTTCTATATAGTTTTAGGGAATATTTGTGAAATTAAATAAATTTAAAGATGGTGTCAGTTTTTTGATTTCCCTGCTTGTCCTTCTGTGTTGTCTTAAGGAATATATGTTTTTCTTGTAAGTGCAAATTACCTTAGATTTCTGCAATACTTATTGTACTCTTCTTCCACTTTCTTGTTATCCAAGAGTCTCTCTGAATTATAGACACAGATGTAAAAGTAGTCACTATATTATTACATAAAAATTAACATGTGCCAATTAGATTCATGATATAATATAAGCAGGCCAGATTAATTTTTCTAATTGTTTTCACATTCTGTTTAATGAAATGCATTGAAGAACACAAAACAATCTCTTCTGAATGTATCAATAAGAAAGAGATTTCATTCTTACCTATATTCACAATGTTCTGAAAGGTTTCCTCCATCACATCTCTGTAGAGCTTCCTTTGGGATGCACTCAGCAAAGTCCACTCCTCAATGGTGAAGTTCACAGTCACATCCTCAAATGTCACTGACTCCTAGAGGATCAAAGAAATATTTATTGAAGGAAAATTGAGACTAACAGCCTGGACTATGTGAACCCCCTTCAAAAAAATTGTAACAGAGCAAAGTGTGGTGGTACATGTTTGTAATCCCAGCACATAGGAGGCTGAGGCAAGAAGATCATCATGACTTCAAGACCATTGTGAGCTACAGAGTGAGTTCAAGGTCAGCGTGAGACTCTGGCTAAAAAAATGAAACAGAGCAACAAAAAAAAGCTGCTTCATGGTGTCACATGACAAAAAGCAGTGAACATAATTGCAGTTTGAAAAAATATCATGCTGTTACATTCTGCACTCCAATAAAAGCTATACAATGCACAACTAATCTCTAATTCAGAAACAATGAGAGAATTAAGACACCAAGATTGTCTTTCAAAATGGTCACTACGTATTCCCAACAATAAAAATTACAACATTTTGTTCACAAAAATTATAATATATTATGCGGAATTTCACTGAGCACTATTACAAAGGTATATTTTATACACTACTGTGATCATATCATTCTGCGAGGCTGTGACAGGAGTATATGGCATTCAAGCTCAGTCTAGTCTATATACTGAAAATAAGTGTCAAATTTTCAAATAATGATAAATCAAAATGTAAAAGGTCAAATGTTTCCCCAGAAGTTCCTGAGCTGCATTCCTACCAACACATACCTTTTAATTTTTCTTATTTCTGTGACAAACTATCGCCATTACACAGAAATAATGTTGCCCAAGAAATTTTAAGCTAAAAAAAAGAAAAAAATTTACTATTAACTTAAAATTGATTAGGTGGATGTAGTAGTAACAACAAAACTGCCTATGTAATCATTTAAATTTCTATATTTCTTTCAGCTTAAATGTCTGAATCACTTTCCAAGTGCACCAACATACAGCTCATAGTTCAGTTCCATACTAAGCAGTTTTCAGAGGGAAATTCCTTGTTCAGGAGCTGATTTTGCCTGACACCACCATCCACTGCTTTCCCATCTTGTAGGTAATTTCATGTGCTCTTCCATAGACAGAACACCATTCTCCCCTTAATTACGGACGTGTCTGCAGACCTACACTTGGCACTTTACACCTGCTGTAATACTGTTTCTATACTTTGTTCTATCTCCTTCAGTATATCAGGTTTTGTTTTTGAGACAGGTTATTCCCCTATAGGTAAGTCTGGCCTTGAACTGATTATGTAGCCCAGGGTGAAATTGAACACCCAAGAATCCTCCCACATCGGCTTCCTGAACACTAGCATTGCACTCATGTGGCACCACACCCAGCTAGAATTTTCATTTTGTGAAGTAATATTTACAACCTATCCATGCATCACAGCAATGATGTGAGACAACTTGTTTTTTCTACTTTTTCAAGGCATACATAAAGCATATGTAGATACCTTACTTCAAAGAGATTCAGTTTGTGTTTAATATTCAAATCCTTATGAAAGTTGTTCTTTAGACATTATTTTCATCCTTCTTTTTTCCAGTGAAAATATGAGATAACATCTCAGCTGATGCTCTGAGACTCAAAAAGAATGATATGCCTTTGTGGCAGTAAAAAAATGTACCACCCTTTGCCACATCAAGTTATCTTTGCACCACTAATTGAGGGGCCTTTGTGCCTGGTGCAAGACTGCTTTGTTTCCCTAATACAAGCCATGCATGTAAAAGTTTCCTTCCATGCACTCTGTGATAACACATGCTTACCTCTCCAATTAGTACTCATAAAAGTCTTGGGCACTCTGTTGCATGGCCCACTTTCCAGTAAGAATAACTCATAATCCCAGTTCCCTGGGAACTGCAGATTTTTATTTCTTTTGTCTTTTTTTAATATCTGGGCCACACTGCTGGGTGGGAGAGAGAACATTATTCATAGTTTTCACTTTGACCCTGTACCTAAACTTTTAACAAATTTAGCATACTATAATCAGGGGTCATAGTTCCTATTCTTTTACCAAGATAAAGTGTAAAATAAACTCAGAGGAATTTATATTTCCCTACAAGTTAAAAACTTGTCTGTTGGATCCAAAGTCCAAAGTAGTTGACAAAATAGGAAGGTGAAGGAAGGATGTTTAAGTCATGGAAGTATGGATGGAGGGAAAAGTGGAAGGATCTGCAAACAAGAATACACTTTTCCAGGTCCTGTCCTTAGTGATATGCCTCCAAAAATTCCCCACCTCCTAACCCCACATTCTGACACTAAAATCAAAAGTGAATGAGTTCATTGAAGAAGAGAGGGCCCATTCAAAGCAATCAACTTGAAAGCTCATGTGACATTTAGAAGACCCTGTAGATATAAAACAAAATAGCTGATCTGTTGCTGGGAGAAAAATCAGCATACAACACAGCAGTCTCACCCTCCCTGAAACCTCACACATGTGTCATGAGTCTCCCATCAACCTGTCTCCCACTCACTGCATGATGAGGAATGGAACTCTACGTGCACATGCCATGTTTAGTGTGTCCCATTTGCTTGCACCATCTGTCACTTGTAAAACTCTCACATGCATTTACAGTGTGTTTGAGACCTAAATGATCTTTTTTGCTCTGCAGAAACAAAGGCTAAGAGCCTGACTGGCCTGGAAGCACATCAACCAGCAAGTGTTATTTTTTAAAAACTAGATTACCCAAATGAATATATCAGAAACCAATTTGGCCATGAGACAAACATCCTTTGTGTGACAGTCCACTCCGTAGCTAAGATAGCATTTTTCCTACATTTGCCATAAAATAAATAAATTTTGATACTCATTACTTCAATCCTAATGTTCTGATTTTCTACCGGATACATTGGTTTTGAGACAAGGGCAGTGCTTTTGCCTCATTTCCTCATTTCTTCACTGTGGACAGAACAAAGGACACAGAGAAAGGAATGAGAACCAAAAATAGTACAGCAAGATGAACTAGTTTCTATGTCCCTTGGATTTCTACCTGAGTTAGAAGGAAAATTTGAATGGTCCTGACTCATGAAGAATTACTCTTCACTCTCTTTTCAGACTCTTGGTGCTACTTGGCCTGTATTTAAACACTCCAAGTTAATTACAGCCTTTACATCAAAGAAGGTTTCATAATTCTTCAACACTTGGCTATGTAATTTTTCCTTAACCCTCTTAATGAGAAAGTATGCTGAGAATGTTTTTATTACCAGCAATAATTTTTTAATCCAAATACACAGATATTTCAAACTTTATTATCAAATTAAGTAACACTAAATTAAAAGACACATACAATTAGAATACTGACAATATAAAACCTTCACACAGAGAGGTCTTTTACAGGTGGGATACACATACTCTTCCTCCCCTTCTTGTTCCCTGCAAAGGAAAACCACAAACAACAACCCCCATACACATAATGAAAAAGAAGATTTAACTACTCCAGTAATATTTTTAATTCAGTATACTGGCAAATGTTTAAACTCATCAATAGTATCCTGCAGGGTATAGGAACAAAGGTACTGTTGCATCTGGTGGTAATAAACACTGCTTTTGACAAAGTAGTTTGACTAGATTTACCAAAACTCTTTGCTATGGTCTGAATGTTTACAACTCTCCAAAATTCATATGCTGAAATCTATACTAAGAGGGATGGCATTATGGGGCCACAAGAAGGAGACTAGGTCACAGGTGTGGAAGCCTCATGAATAGGCTTAGGATCCTTATACAAGAGATGTAAGATGGGTGTTTGGTGTCTGTAATTGCAGAGCTTGGGAGGCTGAGGCAAGAGAATATATGAGTTCGAGGCCAGGCTAGGCTGCATAATGAATTCAAGGCCAGCCTGAAATACAATGTGTGACCATCTCAAAAAAAATAAACCTCCAAAAACAAACAAAAAGAGGACCAATAAGTATCTTTTGTTCCTTTACCATGTGGACACAGCAGGAAAACATTATCAACCTGATAGCAGGCTCTCATCAGATACCAAATTTGCAGACACCTTGATTTTAGATTTTTCAACCTCTAAAACTATGAGAAATACATGTAATGTTTACAAAAACTTCTCTAAGAGCCTTCAAAGAAAGCAAGTGTCCATTTCTCCTACTCAGGCCTGCACCCTGGACGATGTAGCAAGTGAGGACAGCAAGCTGAGACACAGACTGAATCACCACTGTGGGGTAGCAGGCTGGCAGTGTGGGCTGAAACTGCCGCTTTCCACAGCAGTGAAACACCTGCCACCACCACGCATCTACAGTCTGTCTGGCTGCATTTCCAGCACAGGCTGAGGTATTTACTGTTTCCCATATAATGCAACAGCAAAGATTTCAAATGGACCAAAGATTTTAAATTAGTGTCAGTAGCACTAACACAGCCTCAGCTGGCAGAGTACAGGGAACCAAGCAGGGTGCGATCTGTAATTCCAGGGAAAAAGCCTGGTCACCATCTGTCCTCAGCCACCCTCTCACCCAACCCCGTGTGGCCCTTTCTGCAGGGCATACTTGCCCTAGTCATGAGTCTTGGCCCAAGAACTTCAAATCCCAATTTCCTCTGAATAAAGAAGAGATTTGGAAAGTTAATTTCAACAGAGCAATTAGTAATACAGAAATCAGGTAAAGCTGCAAATTGTTGGTTGCCCAGCTATAAAATACATGATTTATTCCTCAAATTTATTCTAAAATTAAATGTACAGTAATCCTTTCCTTATATAATGGGGTGAGAGTGGGATCCAGGAAGTGGATTATGACAACACAGAAGGGGAAATCAGTATGGGTACTCTGGGGGGCATGAACTGGTTCAAGCTTACAGAAGTTGAATGGCAAAGCCTATTGGATAGGCAATGGCAAATAAGTGGCATTAAGCAAAGAAACATTTTCAGTAAACCTAGGAACGACATACGATGTCTGCGTTTGTGTCTCATTGATTTTTATAGAAATAATTTGTGCTAGTCTGAAAATCAGGGGGACCATATTAATAAAGACCAAAGTAAGAGCCAAGATTCAGCAGTGATTATTTTACTATATTTGATCTATAGGGACTGTAAAAAGAAATATTAAAATAAGACTCCTGAAGAAAGAAAAGCCTAAGAGCTTTTCACCAAAAATAAAAGCAACTCATTTCCATAAAAGTAGTTCAAAGTTTATTTGTAAGTTTAATAGAGTATATGATATTTTTCCTTTGGTCATGTTTGTTGCCTAGATTAAGATAGCACATATAAAAATCTAAAAAGATCTCAAAGCTTCCCCAAACCTGATCTGAAAATTAGCTTAGAAATAGTTGCTTATAGAAAGAAGCCTGTAGCATCCAGTGTTCTCATTAACCTGAAAGTATCAAGTTATTCTTTTTTTGTCTTAATAATATTGTTCTAGCAATTCTAATAAGAGGCAAAATCAATTATAAAAATAATGTAACATTTTGCAGGCAGTAGGAATTAAATGAGTGTAGTAATCAGTGCCTGCAAACATGCATAACTAATGACAGGGAGAAATTGACCATCCCTAACTGTTCAGTTGAGTGAACAGGCCATCAAAGTTAAGGTAAAAAACAGTGAGGCTGAACTAAATTGCATTAAGGTAAAGCATCTCAGGAGGTTTTTCCAAGGTCAGCTGATGAAGGCCAGATGGCAACTAATATTTCTCATATACCCCATGTTGATGACTGTGGGCCATGAGGAGCAAATTGACAGGCACTTCTGTGTGGCAGCGTTCTGTCCATTCTGCTCAAGAACTCGGCAGTTTTGTATTGGTGATGCTCCCTAAGTGTTTCTCTTCTGAGCTTTTCTTGAAGTGCCCTTTTCTCCTCCAGTTTATTGCTCTTCTCTCTCTGGATTGCCTTCTTTTTCTGGAGCTCAGCTTCTTCAGTTTCCTTCTTGATTCTTATATATTCTTCTCTTTTTAGCTTTTGCTGGTATTTAGATTGCATCAGTTGGAGCTGTTGCTTCTGCCTGACTTCAGACTCTGACTGACTTCCACCCAGCCGTTTTGGCAAGAGATAAACTGGTTTAGCTCTGTTCTGTTCCTTCCACTTCTCCAAGCTGGCCAGCTCTTGCTTGGCAATCCTTTGGATCTGATGTCTCCGAGTTTCATTCGGTGCTATCAAGGTATATGCACCTGTGCTCCTCTGGTCCGAGGGCCCAAGGCTTGGCCGTTCTGGGGCAGCTGCCACCTGCAAACCCTGGCTCCAGCTCCTGCTCCGTAGCAAACTGAGGTCCCTGTCCCGGGGGCCGGGGTCCCGGGGGCCAGGGACAGGGCTGGACTGGGAGTCCACTGCTGCAAGGCGGTGGGAGTACATGGTCTTAGAGCCCATGGTCCCAGGACGCCTGGCGAGTTTCAAGGGAACCAGCAATAATTTAAGTAGGTTTTTCAGATACACACGAAAATGTGTGTCACTTTTTGCTCCAGATGAATTTTAGGAGTGATTTCTCTAGATCTATGTGGTATGTTGATGGCATTTTTATTGGGATTGCATCGAATCTGTATAACAGTTTTGAGAGAATGACCATTTTCACAGTATTATTCTTCCTATCCATGAGCAAGGGATGTCTTTCCATTTTGTGAGATTGTCTTCAATTGTTTTTTCGGTGTATTATAATTTTCTCTGTATAGGTCTTTCACTTCTTTCATAAGAGTAATTCCTAAATATTTCAGTTTTTGGTTGCTAGTGTAAAGGGTGTGACTTCACTTATTGTTTTCTCTCTGTGCATTTTGTTAGTACATAGCAATGCGATTACTTTTTAAATATTGATTTTGTATCCAGCTACATTACTGAATTTATTTATTATATTGAAGAGCATTTCAATGAAGTTTAGGGGATATTCTATGTAGAGTATCATGTCATCTGCATACAATGATAATTTCACTTCTTATTTTCCTATCTTTACCCCTTTTATTTCTCTCTCTTGTCTAATTGCTCTGGCTAGTATTCCCAGTACTATATTAAATAGGAGTGGTGATAAAGCATATCATTCTCTTGTGCCTGATTTTAAAGTAAAGGTCTTCAATTTTTGGCCATTTAGTATATTGATAGTTGGTTTGTCGTAGATGGCCTTTATTATATTGATGGTGTTTATAAAGACCATCTATTCCAATTTTCTGTAAAGTTCTTAACATGAATGAATGTTGGACCTTATCAAAAGTTTTTTCTGCATCTATAGAAATGATCATGTGATTCTTACTTTTGGCTTTATTGATATGATGGATTACATTTATTGATTTACATATGTTGAACCATCCTTGCATGCCTGGGATGAATCCCAACTGGTCATGGTGTATAATTTTCTTGATAATTTGCTGCATCTGAGAAGAGGCCTAGAATAGCAAAGACACTTCTAAGCAACAAAGGCAAGGCAGCAGGCATCACAATCCCTGACTTGAAGTTACATTATAAAGCAACTGTAATAAAATCAACATGATACTGGAACTCAAACAGAGCCAAAGATCAAATGAATAGATAAGAAGATACAACCACAACTGCAAACACACTCAACCACCTTATCTTTGATAAAGGAGCCAAACAGTTTCACTGCAAAAAGGACAGTCTTTTTACAAAATTGTATTGGAAAAACTGGCTCTCCATATGCCAAAAACTAAAACTAGACCCATGCCTATCACCATGTACTAAATTAAAATCTAAATGGATCAAAGATCTGAATATTAAAACAGAAACACTAAATCTATTGGAAGACAAATTGGGTAGAAACCTTGAAGACATAAGGGTAGGTAGAAAATTCATGAACAGAACTCAAACCACACTGGAAATACTTCCCAGAATCAAAACCTGGGATCACCTGTTAATCAAAAGTTTCTGCATGTCAAAAGAAATCTCCACCATAGTGAAAAGCAAACACAAAACCTGGGAAAAAATCTTTGTGAATTCTCCCTCAGACAAAGGACTTCTGTCTAAAACATATAAAAAACTTTTTAAAAATCAGACCCCCAAAATTCAAAGACCCAATCCAAAAATGGGCATCTGAGGTGAATACACACTTCTCAGCTGAAGAAATACAAATGGCAAATAAATACATGAAAAAATGTTCATCACCGTTAGTCATTAGAGAAATGCAAATTAAAACCACACTGAGATTTCATCTGACTCCAGAAAGAATGGCCAGGGTCAAGAAAACCACCCACAACAAATGCTGGAGAGGCTGTGGGGAAAAAGGAACTCTCATGAACTGTTGGTGGGAATGTAGACTGGTGCAACCATTGTGGAGGTCAGTATGGAGATTGCTCAGAAAGCTGGGATTGGAAATCCCATTTGTTCCAGCTATCCCACTTCTAGGCATATTCCCAGAAGAACTGAAAGCATCATACCACAATGATATATGTGCACCCATGTTTATAGCAGCACAATTTGTAATTTTCAGATCTTGTAAACAACCTAAGTGTCCATCAACTGAGGAATGGATAAAAAAACCGTGGTACTTTTATATAATGGAGTACTACTCAGCTATAAAGAAGGATCACATTGAGATATTTATAAATAAATGGATGCTGCTTGAGACCATACTCACAATAAGTGAAATAAATCAATCTCACATGTATGAATACTGAATAGTGTCCCTATTGTAAGAAATGATTCAAATATACAAAAGTATGTGGTAATCATGTTTCCCCATTATGTGGCTTTGAAGCCTTATAAAGTTTTCGCTCATTAATTGGAATGGTTTTATTTTGGGCTGTTTGATTTTATTTTCTGTGATGATATGAAACAGCTATTTTGGGTTTTTTGGGGTTTTTTTTGTTTGTTTTTTTGTTTTTTTTTTTTTTTGTCTTTTTCATTTTTATCGGTACCGGGGATTGAACTCATGACTGCCTGCTTGCAAAGCAGGTACTTATGCCGCTGAGCTAATTCCCTAGCCCCTTGAACAGCTATTTTGAAGAAAACAAGACATCTTAATAGCTAGTGCTGATTTAATATCATCTTGTTTTGAAGTCCCACCAAACTGTTGTTCTTCTGTCTCCATTGGTTTTATCATGTTGTATCTTACTGGATTTCATTATATGTGATAGTATAAACAAAATTTTTATAGGCAAAGAGATAATATAGAAACCATTGTTCATTTCCTGTTAGCTGATTCTAAATACCTTGTAATACTTTCATCTTCTTGGTTTCACGCTGCCTTGATATGTTTGATGCCATCATATGTGAAGTTATACTCAAATATTTAAAGGAAAGAGACATTATGGTCCCTACTATTAAGTCAGATTATCTTGTGATGAAGCACTAATTTGATGAAATTGTTATGCTTGACCTATATTGTTGTTGCTATGTCCTCTTTTGTCTCAATCTCCCCTTTTTAACAAAATTTATTTATTTTTTAATTTTTTTAATTAAGGTAAAAAATCAAAAAAATTAGCAGGATATATTATAGTAACTTTTCTGACTTCCTATTAACTTGATTTGAAGCCCTGTATTGCTCCCACCATCTTGTTTTAACTGATTTTACTCTGTTTGGTTCTGTTTGATAGTATCAAGTTTGAGGGTATAGGCAACTACTTTGAAGGCAATAAGATTCACTATGATGCCCATTCTGGTTTGACTATTACCGTCTTATGAAATCTTGTAATGTCTCCAATTTTTAGGTTTTATTGGTCTTGTTCTCTATTGTTTTGTTCAATTTTATTATACCTAATGATATAGGCAATTCATTTTAAGGAAGCAAGAGGCATTATTGTAACCATTGTTGATTATCTTGCACTCTGTTTTTACATCATGTACTATGTTCACCCTTTTTTTGACTGACTGCTTTGTTCTGTCATATTTGGTTTTATTCTCTTCCAAAAAAAAGTACTAAGAACTATGGGAGTAATAAAAACCAAAATGTGTAAATTTTGTTGTAAAAAAGAGAGGGAAAAAAGTGCTCTAAAGGATACAACTGCAAGTGTGTTTAGGTGTGTTAAGATAGATGACCATATTACTAAGTTTTTGTTGGATCACTGAATACAACTGTTTGCAGTCTCATTGTTTGAATGTCCACTTTGTATGCTTTAATCCTGTAACTTGAACAACTATTTCTGAGATGACAATATGTAATCTATTAACTAGTGATTTCATACTATTTTTTAAAAATTCTGTGTTACTGGCACCCTTTTACTGTTTTTTTTTTTTCTCCTTTAAATAAAATTTTAAAAAAAGAAAATGGGTGTTGCCATGGCCACCTTTATGGGCAACATTTTAGAATCTATGCCTCAGCCTGCTGACTGCTTCCAATGGTAGAGCTTTTGGGGTGAAGTCTCAGTTCAGGGGATAGGGTACATATCATATCATACATGCTTTAACTTCTATTTATCAATTGAAGGTCCTGAAAATCTTTGTGTGTCTGGAGATTATCTATTAATTTCAGAATTTGGTACTGCCACTAGCTTCTCTAGTTATTTACTCCCATGACATTTAGTCTAACAACATATTTAAGGGGAGTCTCAGGACAACCCTTAAAACACTTCTGTATACCTATAGCCTATTTCTTGTGTTGAAGTACATTTCTTAGAATTCCTGAGACCCCCACTGTACTTCTGTGGAGACAATTGTGCAAGCCATGGAGAACTCTTGTCCTCACTAGGACAGAGGCTACATAATGTTTCCCTTGCTAGGATTACAAATGGTCCTTTCCATGTGGAGAGAGAATGGGAACAGGACTGTCATTCCTATCTGGATTCATTGAAAGATCCTTCCTACTTGTTATCATCAAGAGCATCAGGGTGGACTAAGAAATGTTCCCCAGTGACCTGTAATACTGAGGCCTCTTAGAGAAAACAAATCAACTTTCCTAACAATCATACTATTGGGGTAAAAAAGGATCAAACCTAAGTAGATTGGTACAGGACTTCCTTCTCATTAATGTAATGTTATAACTTATTCACCCTAATCTGAGATTCATGTAAATGGCTGTCTGTCATAGATATTAAAGATGTCTTCTTTTTGGAACCAAGGACACAAAGTTTATTTGCCCATGAAAATTTCCTTACTGACTTTTTACAACAAATTTCAGCAGCCCTTCTCCTCAGTTTTCATAAGAGCTCATACCAGTTTGGGTTGAGGTATCAAGAAATATCAAAGACCCAAAATGGTTTTAAGTTCAGGGAAGGTAAATTGAACTATATGGGGATATCCACTGTTCTTCAGCAGTCAACTCTTGAGGTGGCAGCCAAAATAAAGACACAGGAAAACACAAGGACAACTAAAGAGTGAGGAAATCTGATACACAATGTGAAATATTTTTTTTCATTACAATATAACCTTATTTTCAAAATGTGGCAGAGACACAGTTTTCCACTGCATGTGGACTCACATAAGTCCAGATGAACAATTACTAGTGTCATCAAGATGCTATAACTGAAAAAAAAAATGTGTCTTAGTAGCAGTTGGTGGCTAGAGCTGCGGCTGGATCATTCAGCTACTACTAGCTGTGAGCAGACTAGTAGAAATTGCTTAGAATGAGTCCTGTCCCTGTACACAATTGGCACCAAGCAATTAGTAGACAATTCACAATACCCATAATTTAAAAGGTATTAATGTGCTTTGCTTCAAATTTTGTGGAATTTTCAGTTCAGAGGATCTGGGAAGATTGAGGAACAGTAAGCAGCAGAGGAAACAGCTTCTGTAGAGAAACAGTCCATATGCCTGAATATAGCATTACTGGAGAAGACAAGAAAGAAGGAAGTGGATCCCCCTGGACCTGGATGACCATAAAGTTAAAACTGAAGCCCAGAGAGAGAATAAAATTAGAAAAATTTAAAAAGAGAAGTGGGCCATAGCTGGCAGCACACTCACCTGGAGCCAGAACCACCATGATAGAAAAGTTGTTGAAACCAAGAGATACACAGTCCGTGAATGTGATGGCTGGCAAGCCCAAATGCTTCTACAGGGAGATGTGATTGCAGAGGGGAGCAGTAGACTGGAGAATCACACTGGCTGGCTCCGAGTGTGGGCAACTCAGTCCTCCCAAAGGATTGAACAATTGGCCACAGGCCATTTTGGAGTTGGGCAGGGAAATCCTGGAACCAAAACTGCAGGTGGCTTCATTCAGCCACTCCTAGCTCTGAGCAAACTGGCAGAAATTGCTTGGCATGAGTCCTGCCCCTGTACATATTCCAACAGCCATCACCGTGGTTTCCCTAAAGCTATCCCCAACCAGCTTCTACGACATGAGTACTATATGTAGTGAAGGTTTCCGGCTTGCTAACCAGCTCCTGCCCCACCCTGTTTGCACTACAGCAACAACAGGTGAGCCACAGCATTCTGGGAAAGGCAGCAAAATAGATCTATACTAGCACAACCAATGTTCACTATCAAATATCCCTAGCAAGCATGGGCTCCAGAAAGCAAATTATCTTGTTTCAGAGAAATAGTAGCCAACCCAGGAAGGGCTGGGGACCCTACTATCCACTGGTCTAGAAACTACCAGGTACATGAGAAAAGGAAGAAGCAAAAGGCAGTCTCTGGCCTCCAACCCAAGCAGTACTAGTCAAGGAGATGTAAACACAGAAGACACAGGGAGGCACACACCTGAAGTTTCTGAAGTAACAGTAACTGAGGTAAAGAATCAACTTCAAGGGGCTAGAAAAGAAATCAGAACAGAAATACTATCTCAGGTAAAAGAAGAAATGAGAAACACAATCAAATATCCCTAGCAAGCATGTGCTCCAGAAAGCAAATTATCTTGTTTCACAGAAATAGTAGCCAACCCAGGAAAGGAAAAAAATTCTAAGCACCCCTAAAAAACAGATGAGAGAGTAAAGGAACACAGGAAAATGAGGAAAAATTTCAACGACAAATATAAATAACACTTAGATTACATGAAACAGATTTGAAGAGATCAGCAGGAAATTAGAAGCTTGCAAAACTGCTTGAAAGAAACTAGAAATAGACTATCAAACCTTGAAGACAGGTTTGCAGCTTACAATCATGAAAGGAAACATTTCTTAAAAATAACAAAGAACCAAGAAATGACAATACAAAGACTGCAAAATGACAGGAAGATGTATAATTTAAGAATAAAAATATGAGGGCAAAAGCAGGAGTAAATACAAATGAAATACAAAGCCTAATTACAGAAATAATTAAAGAAACGTTCTGAATGATAGGAAAAGGAAATGATATTCAGATAAGTGAAACATACAAAACTCCAGCCTGCTATAACCAAAATTAATCTTCATCCAGATAATGTAATAATCAAGATGCCAGAAACTCATCACAAGAACAGAATACTAAAAGCTGTCAGAGAAAAGTAACGGATCATCTATAATGAAAACCCATCAGATTCATGACAGATTTCTCCACACAAACTACCAAATCAAGAAAACCTGGCAGTGAAGTATTCCAAATCCTGAAAGAAAAATAGCCTCCAATCAGATTGATGCATCCTGAAAAACAATCTTTTAAAATTAATGAAAAAACAAGATACTCCCATGACAAAGAACAACTGATGGAATTCATGACCAACCCTACAAAAACACTAAAGGACATTTATTCTGGAGAGAAAACCAAGCCCAGGGATTCAGGAACTGGGAAGGGGGTCTTCACTGAATGGAGCAGACAGTGGAATGAATTGGAAAATAGACAAACAATGACATAAAAATACCATGGAAGAGATGAGGCAGAGAAGGTTGGTCATAATTACTAATACAGTGGACCTCACGTAAGCAATAAAAAGAAACACGGGCAGAGTGGATGAGGAGACAGGGACTATCAGTGTGCTTTATACAAGAAATACAGTAAACTAAAAAATGGAGTTTATAGACTGAAAGTTAAAGATGAAAAAACAATTCTGTATGTGATTGGGAACCAGAAAAAAGTGTTTTTCCCATCAACTGCAGAATGGTTAGAAAACCATGACACTTTTATTCAATAGAAAACTACTCAGCTATAAAGAAAGATAACCCTGAAGCACTTGTAGGTAAATGGATACCATTTGCAATCATGCTCAGGGGTAAAAAGGTTTGTGGTCATTTAGGTGAATAGTGGCTTTCTTCCCTAATATCAAAACTAAAGGACTTAGTGGGATCCAAACTGTATAATACATCCTGTGACTGGAAGGGGAGGAATTGTCTAAAAAGTGGAGACAGTGGCCATTGTTAATCTATTATCATGATTTGAAACATTGTTTTCATTGCTCAGTTTAGTTTGGTTATATTCTGATTCCATTTGTCTACTTGTATTAGATTTGATGGCATGGACAGCTGTTCCATAGAGAGTAGAATATATTATGATAACCATTTTTGACTTCCTATTAGCTTCATTTGATAACTTGATTGCTTTTATTGTTTTGCTTTGACTGATCTTATGTTTGGTGGTATAGGCAACTACTATGAAGAAAAAGAAATATACTATCATACCGATTTTCATCTGACTCATCTTCTTTTGAAGTCCTATAGTGTCTCCATTGTTATGTTTTAATTGGGTTGTTCTGTATTTTTTTTATTTATTATGCCTGATGATACGGGCAATTCTTTTGAATATAAAGAGGCATTGCACTAGCCATTATAGATCACCTTGTATTTTGTTTTTGTCATGTATTACGTTCATTCTTTTGTTTAAATACACAGTTTTGTTTTGTCTCATTTGGTTTTATTCTCTTCAAAATGAAATTAAAGAATTTTCAGTCCATACCTTGCTGAATCCAAGTCAGGGTGGCTTGGTAGAAGGGAATGGAAAACAGGATAATTATGTATGGCATGGCATAGGGAAGCAAAAAACATCATAGGAGGAGGAGAGATACACATAAAATCATACAGGTCATATCCACAGTGACTCACCTCTTTCACCAGGTGTTACCTCCTAACATCACACATAGCTATGGCATAATCAAACATCATGTATCCTTGATATCCAAGATTCGGTCATCTCCCAAAATCCCCACCTGTGAGTGCATGGTGCTTTCATAGAACAACTATATCCCATATAAAGCCACAATACAATTATGTTTGCAAGGGTTAGGGCACAGATTTTAACACAGGAAATGCAAAAGTAAATACAGTGTGCTGACTCCATAACCATGGACAAGGGTTCATTGTATGAAAATGTGGAGAACATGTACTTAGTTTATGCCACATATGTGACACAGTTGTAAGGGCACAGCAGGTTGAAAGTGTTTCCTTATGACACTGAACATAATTTCAAAGGTACAGAAACTATACTGTAGATACATAATGTGTGTAGCATATATTTACCCCACAGCAATGTGCTCATTAGCAATGTGAAGATGAACTTCAGCAAGGGTAGCAAAGGAGCACTGGCTGGAGCTTCCACAGGAAAAATAAAGTGCCAGAGAAAGTCAACTGAGTTTGGGTACAATATTTCTAATGCGGCTGTGGTGGTTGCTGGGATCTAAAATGGAATAAAGACGCACAAGTGAGAACTTAGGCTGGTGGGGCAGCTTGAATGGCAGCCTAACTGTATGTAACTGCACAAGGTGCTACAACTTATGTGTTTTTCAAAACATCTATTTACAAATAAATTTCTTAACATTTCCCATGGAGATAGAGGATATCAAAAGCTGAAGCCAATATTTAGCAATTAGTTGTTTTTATGAATACAGATCATAGGGCAGTGCAGTTTGGAAGTCACTGCCAATAGGAATGGATGAACAGGGATGATAAAATTCACAGTGTATATATTCTAGAGTTAGGATTTTTTTTTTATCGGTACTGGGGAATGAACTCACAACTGCATGCTTGCAAGGCACGCACTTAAACTGCTGAGCTACATCTAGGAATGATACTCTAGGAATGATATTTGAATATATTTATAAAATGTATTGCATAGGAGCCTGTCTTATCTTGGGAATTTAGAATGCATTGATTTACATTTTTAATATCTGAATCTTTGTCACTGATTCAAAACTTTAAGCTTCCTATTGTGTAGGAAATGTAAACATCTAGGAAAGATACAACATATTTGCAAATGCTGGTCATCAAATATAAGCATGTTTCAGCAATAGAAACCTATCTTAATATTAATCGCAAGAAACAACTAAGAAAAAACTCATCTGATTATTTGAATCTTAGTATAAATATTATTTTCTAAAATTCAATTTCTATTCATTATTTTTCAAAGATTTCTACAGAAGAGCAAGTTAAATGAAACTTCCTAACCAGAAACAGTACAGGATCACATCACAAATACATGAGCTTCTGAATGCAGACACTGTCTAGTTACACTTTTAAAATCAGAAATGTAGGTATTCTCTGTCTCAAATATTGTGTTACATTAGAGCAGAAGTAATATGACCAATTGCAAAGAAATAAATAGAAGGTAATGATATGAATATTGAGGGGAAGAGGTGCCTTCCTCCAAAATACAACCTAAACTCCAAGGGCAATAAAGATGTAGGCTTGCTGAGATTATCCAGTACACAGACTTAAAAGTTACTGGTGGGTTGTTGGGATAAATCACAAATCTTTACTCTGTCTCCACACATTACCTAATAGTGACAGAACAGACAAATGTTGAAGTGGACTTATACTTGTTCCACACCAATGTTTAATTTTATTTTTATGAGTGTGAAAGTGGTGTTTTGTCTTTCTGTGGATCTTGTTCTGTATGTCTTTTCATTCCTTTCTTTTCTCTCCCCTTTCTGTCTTCTGCACCAGTTTCCCAAATTTAGCAAGATATTCCTTAGTCCTCTACTTCTTATCATTTCCTCATAGTCTACTTCTCTCTTTCTCTACCTCCTGTTAAATTATAATCCATTAGGATAAAATTGACATATTAAAGATTTATGCACAGCATATTATTTTTTAGTTTGTTTTAGATTTTGTTATATAACAACAAATCATTTTCATGGAGATAAAGGTGCTAGAGTGGTGGTTACTTCAGTTTGTCAATTTCTAGGATGTGCTGGACAGTAATGTTGTGGCTGGCAGTTCTCGTTAGCCTGGGATGTCATAGCTGTTTTAACTGGCTATTATTCATAGTGTTCCAAGACTGAGACTGACTAGGATTCTTGGAAGGCACTGTGGAACAGCACCAAAGAAATGTGGCACAAGATGAACAGGTAGCAACTTCTCATTATTCCAAAATTGAAGATGGAGAATGTTGCCAGGGACTTAAAGCCTCCAAACCAGCTACACATGGAAGACATATTCTCTTTGTATAACTGGTTTCAATACTAGCAATAAAATAACTCACTATAGACAGCTTACAAGCATCAACTCAGGAAATAAACTTTAAAAAAGAAAAACAAAAATGAGATGAAATCACAGGCATTGAGCTCACCAAAGGCAAACTCATGGGTCAAAGACCTGAGATAACCTGAATGCCACCCATCCTGCCTCTTTGAAGTGGTAACAACCAAGCAATTGAAAGAGGCTTAAAAAATCAGAAATAATTTCTCAGATAGATGAAGAAAGGAACAATGAAAACCATATATAGTGATTCTGGCGCAGAGACAGGCAAAAATAATAAATAGAGCAACTTAAGAAAATGATGCAACATATAACTGCCCAAGAAAGGAAAGAGAATAAATTCATCCTAATTCAACATAGTTCTGGAAACCTTAGCCAGAGAAACTAGGCAAGAGAAGCAAATGAAAAGAATAGTATTAGGAAAAGCAGAATGTAAATATCACTATTTATGGATCACAGGATCTTTTATAGAGAAGACCCAAAACATGCCACTAAAGAACTGTTCCTATTGATTAATTCTGATTAGAAAATTTGGCAGCATAGTTGGATATAAAATCAACACTCAAAAGTCAATAGCCTTCCTGTACATGAATAAAAAACCAACTGAGAGAGAATTTAAGCATATAATAATTTTCATTATATTACTTAAATAAATGAAACATCTGGAAATCAAATGACTTTATAGGGTTGTAAAAGATCTTTACATTGAAAACTATTGTACTTCAGGGGCTGGGGATTTAGCTCACCGGCATAAGTGCCTGCCTTGCAAGCAGGCAGTTGTGAGTTCGATCCCTGGTACTGATGCAAACAAAAAAGACAAAAAAAAAAACAAAAAAAAGAAAAAGAAAAAAGAAAACTACTGTACTTTGAAAAAGGAAGTTGAAAAGGATATCAGAAAATGGAAAGATATCCCTTAATCTTAGATAGGAAGATCCAATATAGTGAAAGTGGCCACAGCTCCAAAACTGTTAAACAGATGTAATGCAATTTTGATCAATATTTCAACCACATACATCAAAGAATTAGACAAAAGTATTCTTAAACTTAATTGAAGCCCAAAGAGACATGGAAAAGCACGTGCATTTCTGGGTAGCAAAGGCAAGGGAGTGGGCATCAAATTGAAATTATATTATAAAGTACTGTGCTTAACAGCATGGCGCTGACAAACAAAAGACACCTGAGGATTAATGGAGCAAATGACAAGATGCTTGAAACAACTGCCAGCATCCTTAGTCCCCTTAGCTTTGACAAAGTTTCCAAATACATTCCCTGGAAAGAAATCCTCTTCAGTAAATGGTGCTAGAAAACCTTGCTTGGCACAGGCCAATGATGAAAATTGCATTCATATCTCACATAACACACTAAGCTAAATTTGAGATGGATTAAAGTTCCCAATACTAAAACAGAAATATTGAATCTGCTGAAACATACAAACAGTAAAATTCTTGAAGACAATGACATAGGCAAGACTTTAAAACTGATTGCACAACAAGTATCATAAAGAATCGACAACTAGGATTTTATTTTTCACAGCAAGAGAAACAATCAATCTGGGATGTCAAAAGAAAACCTAGAATCTGGGAAAAATGTTTTTGGCTGCTCCTTAGACAACGATTACTAGTGAGAATATACAAAGAACTCACAAGTCAGACCTCGCAAATTTAGCAATGCAATTCATAAGAGAAAATCTGAGATGAATACACACTTCTCAGAAGAAGAAATACAAAGAATGAACAATTACAGTTGGTAAAGAATCTCTAGCCTTTCAAGAGATGTGAATTAAACAATACCAAGATTCCATCTCAGCCCAGAAAAATCAGTTAATATAAAGAAGTGAGTTAACTATAAAATTTGGAAGGGTTGTGTGGTAAAAGGCACCTTTCTTAACTGTTAGTAGAACTGTAGACTAGTGCAACTATTGTGGAAATCAGAGGGACTTTTTCAAAAAACTAGTAATGGCCACATTTAACCCAGTTATTCCACTTCTGTGCATTTTCCTTGAAGAATTAATAACATCATACATAGAGAAATATGTGCACCCACATTTGCAGCAGTACAATTTTAAATAGTAGAATTTGGAAACAAGCCAAATGCCTATCACTAAGAAATGGATGAATAATATTGTTTTTATCAATGGAGTATTATTAAGCCACAAAAGAGTAAAGTAAAAATTTTTATAAATATGTGCATGAAACCCTAATCCACAGTTTTAAGTGAAAAGAAGTATTCCCATATCTCTTTTACTGGTATGCCCAAAATGTTCTTTTTCAATGATGGGAATTTGTTTGAAGGTATGTTTTGAGTTTTTTCTTTCAGCCTTAGAGACCTAAAGATTCAGCATACTACATATATCTTGGTGAGCTATCAGCAGAACATAAAGAGGACACATCATTTGAGGTTCAGAGGGGAGTTCTTCAAGGTGTGAAGTGCATCTTTCTAGAGCATAGATGGCTTGAGGACTGTCCTTCAAGCATAAAATTTAGGATGAGTTGTGGAAAATTGGGACCATTTTAAGGGCAAGGATTTAAGGATCAGAAATGGAGGACTGTTCTTTGTAGTTCACAGAGGGAGAAGTATGAGTTAGAAGGTGGAAAGACAAGGGATCTGAATGGCAACATGACCTTGGTGCACTATTACAGCTTAATCTGTTTTGTAAGATGCAGGAAGAGTGGACAAAAATACATGTCCAGGTTTTTGTGGTCCTTTATGAAGACACAGTATTACATGGATATTGCACAAGATGTGTCCACATATCAATGGTGTCACATAGAACCAGACCTAATGGATTCATGGGTCTCTTTCAGGCTTTGGTAATAACATGTGTTCTGGCTTGAGAAGATCTTTGTGTACCATTTTCTAACTGCTGGAGCCTTAAAAAGGTGGTCCACCCATGAAACATAGCACATAATATGATCTCCAAACTGCATGTGTGAAGTAATTTCAAGGACGAGGATAAACCTGCACAGCACATACCACCAAACTGTAGGTGTGTAGTATCTTACCATTTTCTAATTGATGCAGCCTTAAAAAGGTGGTCCACCCATGAAGCATAGCACATACTATGATCTCCAAACTGCATGTGTGAAGTACTATCAGGGACAAGGATAAAGTTGCAGTACCTGATAGGAACTCTGATTGACAATGTCTGACTAGAGATGATGCCCAAACAAAAACACAAGGACATGATTATTCATTTAACTGATGCAGGCAGAGGGCATATGAGTAGGTCAGTCAGTAATGAAAAGATAAAAGAAACTGCCCAGGATAAGTAACAAATTCGTCCTTCAATTCTGGGGTACTTAATTGAGGCCCTCCACAGATATATGAATGTGAAGCCCCACTCACAGATGAAACATGACTTATTAAGAACAAATTATATTGGCCAGTATGCATCAGATATTCACAGCCAACTTTAAGGTTTGGTCATGTTTCAGGGTCCTCAATCAGCAGTACTCTATACTTTAAGGCCATTCACCAGCCAGCTCTTCCATGAACATTAATGGCTGTGGTTTAAGACTCCAAGGACTTTCAGATCCCATAGAAGTGTCTTTACACATAAAACCACCAAGGGGGCAGCTAATCTCTCCTACCACAGACAAAGGCAAACACTTTGCCCCTCCCTGCTTCACTCTACTCTACTCACCTTCTGGTAATCAATAATACCAACACAAGCCCACACAGCACAGGTGGTTCCTAGCTTAATGAAGACCCTTCTCCCTGTCTCACAGGCATACTCTATGCCTTCATCTCTCCATGATAATTTTCATTATCAAAAAAAAAGGTTAGAAATCATGAGTCTGCCTACTTGAGCCACTTATTTCCTTCCCTTCCTGGAAGACCCCCTTTATGACTATTACAGCTCAATGCTTTGTCTGACTATGACTCAGAGATCCCTGAGTCCCCTTCCTTTCCCACACATCAGTTCAAGGTTTTTCACTAACTGAGGACTGGCAGATTGATCTCATCCACATGTCCCATTGTAAATGTTGAGACAATTTTTGCTCTGCGTTGACAGGTTCACTTGGTGGGTAGAAGTATTCCAATGAGTTCAAAACAGTTTCAGAACTGACTGATTATCTACTAACTGATATACTTGTCTGACTTGCTCTCCTTACCTTTATTCAATCAGATACTGGTCTTGCTTGCATTAGTCAGTTTACACAGAAGAGTCCAAGTCACTTGATATACAATGCAAATTTCTCACTTGATATCTACCCTAATCACCTGGAAAGTTACAAGGAATTTACACCCTCCTTAAGGCTTCACAAGGACCGGTCCTTTCTCCCCAATAGCCATCCTTGGAACGCAAGTCATTCCTACAAGACCTACTGGGTGCAACCCATTTGGGTTTACATACTTTGCACCTTTCTCATTGGGCCAGATCTGTTCCTAGAAGTCTAGGTTATTGGAGATTATCTCCCAGGTTTGCAATAGGTCCAAAAAGAAATACAATATACTGTTAACCTTCCCCTGCCTTCTGGCACCTGTTTTAACATAATAACCTGGCTAACAAAATGATTTTTATTAAACTCCTTATCCCTACAGGCAAAGTGGAAGGGACCTTTCAGAGTCCTCTATAGCACCCCAATGGTGATCCATGTGCAAAACTCCTTGCAGTCAATTCACAATTCCACAATAAATCTGTGTTCAGCTGAAAATTCACCTGACCCCTCTCCTTCAAAGAAATTGCAAGCAATCTCCTCAACATCATTCAGGCTGACCAAAATTCCAGAAAGCACCTAAGTGCTGTCCCAGTACATCATGCCATTCTATCTAATTGTATTTTATTAGTTTTTGCTGATTTGACCTTGTTTCTCCATCAATCTCCTATCTCCAGTCTTGTTACACCTAGATAGTTTCTTGTATTTTCAAGGTTACAATGTGTGATTTTTCCTCACAGGAAGCCACATTATTTTTTGCCTTTCTTTCCCTTCTCCTGTTTGATACTCTATGTGGAGGCCCATGGCAAAATACACAGAGCCCAGACAATCTCTGCTCTTAATAGGCCTCTTATTTATGGTTCTCCTACCCATTCTATTAGTACTGTAACTCAGTTGCTTGTTACCTCCAGGATGGAATCACGTCCTATGTACACAATCACATTCAACAATATAATACCCTTATTCCCCACAGATGGTCTCAGGTCTGCCTCCCTGCTGATGTCCCACTCTTTGTACCCAATAGAACAGCTTACCCATACCTTAATCAACTGATCTAACCACATTTTGGCTACGGATTGTTGGATCTGGTTTTCCACATGTGCGGTTACTTGTGGGGTCACATCTATTTTGCACCAGGTATGAGCTAGCAGAAATTTCACCATCACCACATGCAAGTAGAGTCTCCATTTACACATACTAGCATTTGGGAAATGTGGGTCTCTTTTTGTCCTTGTGATTTTCACTTACTGCTGCTGTTCAAAGACAAAATGAACTAGCCTGAAAAGTCTAGTTTTACATGTACTTGTCATGTTTCACTCCTTATAAGGATTCAGATAAAACTACAGATACCTCAAGAAGCCACAATGCTGATCTAACTTTTCAAACTAACCTTTTATTCAGTGCAATATGTCTTCCAGTTCTTTGTTTAGACACCTTCCCTACACCAGTGTAAGTTTATGCTAATCATGTTAGCCTCCCCCAATCATTGTTAATCACTAAACAACTTCAAAACCCTTATTCAGTCAAGGGTCAGCCCCTTGCTGCTCAGCCCCTCTCAAGATTGTCACTGCTTCACTGCGTAACAAACACTCTGGTTTCGGCAATGGCTGTCATTGTCCATATGCAGATGTGCACAAGGAAGCTCTGCATTCAGACTCCTACGAATTCTCACTGTCTCGTTGTGCTCATTTTCAATCATTACTCTGAGTAGCTGGTAGGAATCAAGAGATTTTTGCCCCACTGGAAAAATCAAACCACACCTGCTCCTCAGATTTCTCTAAACAGAAGCAATTTTCAACAATGTAGAGTTGCTGTACTGTTAGGCAAATTAAACAATTGGAATAATTAATAAAGGACATGTAAATATATTTTGGGAATTCATAATCAACTCTGTCCATACAGTCGAGGCATCTCACACTATAGGAACTTCAGCTCTCCTGTGCCTTCCCACCAACTGCACCTGGAAATATAAATTACACATAGGCACAGGCCTGGGAAACCAGAGTTGGCCTGTTAAACTGAAAGCCCAGATTCAGCAGTGCAATGTGATTTAGTTAATCTCTTTTTTTCATGACCTGAAAATAACTTCTGCAATGGGAACAGAAATAGTTGGACTGGTAAGCTGTCTCTTAACTATCATTCCTTATGTGAAGATCTCTCTCAGAAACTTAAAGAGCTACCCCAAACCAAAGTAATGCAGTTTCTGATTACTTCATTAGAATTACAATCACAAATTACTTCATTAGAATCAGTGACTGTCCAAAACCAAAAAAAGCTTAGACCTCTTAATGGTGGAAAAAGGTGGCTTCTGTATCATTTAAGAAAAGGATATTGTTTTTACACAAACCAATTAGGCATAGTATAAGATGCAACCCAAAGGCTTAGTGGAAAGGTCTCAGAAATTGGACAATATGTGCCTGCCTCCTGCACTAATGTCTGGGGATGGACCTCATGGCTCCTTCCTCAGAAGGACTATTGGTCTGTATAATTCTCCTGTTCTTTAACTGCTGTGTTTCCAGACACCTGTCACAACTCATACAATATCACAACAGACAATCACTGGCTAGCAGCTGTTTCTCTTCCCTTCCATCCAATAAGAAATGATTCTCCAAGGCTCTCCTTGACAGTGGGATGCCCACACAGCCCTTGTGTCCTCAAGAAATGGCCATGAGAATCAGCATCCATCTCTCCTTTACTTCTTTTCTCTTTTTGTTTATAACAACAAAAAGGCAGGAATATGGGCCTCCATTTGGAAGTGACTTTCTTAGTAGCCACACTGTCTGCCAGCAGAGGCACACTTGTCATCTCAGAACCTGCTTTATTGGGAAACACAAGATGATGAAAGCCATGAATGTAAGCATCTTGATATCTGAAGACACACAAGCACTCATACAACATTACTCAAGGACTTTGTCCACTGAAGAACGAAACATCCAAAAAGTATGGCCCACTGACATTTACTAAGCTCTTTCCACTTAATGGCCCTTACCTTCTTTGAAGACTCATAATAAAGATCCATTTATCTTTGTTCTCTGCAGCTGGCATTTTTTGCCACTTGTCTGCCTGTGCACAAGTGTCAAACCTTATGCATCCTTTCTTTCACCCACCTTATTGAGTAGTCACTGCTTAGTGCTGATTCTTACACTTTAAATATTATCTGGTAAAAAAAATAGGTTTAAATGTCTGAGTTCTAAATGTTCATTTTAAATACACTAATGACATTAAACTCACTCAGATGGTTTGATGGAATTAGGGAGCAGTATTCTTTTCTCTAATAAAAACTTTCTTATGATTCTCCTTTGCTTTGTGACCTAAACCCACATGATGAAAACAGTCTCTGTTTTCATTACTGTCAGTAGAAGTAGGACACAAATCATCACGGTGACAATGTTTTGGGTTGCTGAGTATAGAATGCAGGAGGACTTAACTGCTCACTTGGAAGAAGGACCCCACTGAAGTCAGATCGCCTGTGATGCTAAAGTTTTCTTTGAACACTCATGTCCCTTTTATATAGATAATAATTTGAGGAAATATTGAAACTTAAGTATTCCACATAAGTGTAAAAAGACAGAGGTCTGACATGAGTTGTGGATGGGAGACCCTGCACTGCAGACATTAATGAATGTCAGAACCTCCAGGTCTGCTGCTGATGAAAGGAAGCCGACCATGGATATGCCTCGAGATCTGCTGCTTAAAAAAAGGCCAGGGATAAAATACAACACAGATACACCAAGTTCCTCCCAATACCTTAGTTAGAGTCAGTACAGCCATATTCTCACTACACTGGTATACAAATGGCTGTGACTGGTACCAACCAAGACAGCATAGTGGGTTGATAGTGACACTTCTTGGAACAGGATGCAGGAAACTCTGAACTAACACTGACTCAGAAATGGGGAAAATGAACAGAAGCATGAAAGACAGGGAGAACCTCAGAGTCTGAACCTAGGAAGGGAGGCTGTACTTCCCTGTGGCTACTTCTGGGTGCTTCCTATCAGACCTCGTCTCAATTCCATACAATCCTCTGCTTCTGTCACACAACATCACCTCTGCATGACCATCGAGTCATAGAGTCCTCTCCAAGCAGGCAACAGTCAGCAGAAGTCACAGAAAGCACTAGGTGGTGATGTGGGTTGACTCTCAGCAATGTGCTAAAGATGTGATCTTTGGTGTGAAGATAGCAGGAAGAAACTTCCTACTTTGGTCCACATGATGGGACAGTTAATGCAGCCTGACTATTGGTGATTGATGTTTGCTTCATTGCTCTCCCTCAGAGAGAAGAGTGACAGAAGACACAAACCCCTACCTGAAAGACCGAGGCCCAAATATATGATTGCAGTGAAAAAATTTCTGGACCAGTTTCTTTTCCATGATGTGCACCTTGGCTTCCCTGGAAGGTATCTATGGGTTTGAGTCCTGACTTTTCAGATATGTCCCTGTTTTCTTAATGGACTCTGTGGGTTCTTTGTGCAAATGAGTTGCACAAAGCTCAGAAAATTCCAGGGTCAATGTCCTAGCAAAAATTCAATCTTCTAATATTAGAAACCATGCTGAGTCCAGGGCAATGGCAGGCAGTTTGAAAAGTCAATATTTGGGAATTAGGCAAGCTCCACTGCCAAGATTTTCACACTATCTCAAACTCTTCATCTTAAACCAGGAAGATGAATTCATGCCTCTCCAAAGAAACACAACTATTTCATAAAGAATAATTTAAAATATAATAATATTCTGCAAAAGGGTAAAGCAGAAAGAAAGCCACACAATGCAAGTGAGTTGCAATGTGTGATTAAGTGATTAAGACAAGTTTCTTACAGCATTCAGAGTCATAAAGAGCCCTAAATTTGGAAGCTAAACATATGGCCAAACATGGGGGCAGACTAGATGCTACAATAAAACCCCAAGTTGCATCAAATTACTCACTATCCAGTGATGCAACTTTGACACATAAGAAATTGAGACTCTAAGCTCTGAATGTTAATAGTTTCCTCCCTACAGGGCGACTTTATCAGTTATTCAACACAAATGTTCCTGAAGGAAAAATAATGTGGAGTTGTGTGATATTCTCCACTACAATTGATTGGGTAAAAAAATGTAGAGGATATTTGTAAAGCCCACTTCCAAATGTTTGGTTAAGTCATGCTAGTGTGACCTTAAATACTAAACCTGTCTGCTTCCATTGAAGTTCCTGCTCTACACTTCTCCAATTCCTGCTTCTCATAATGTAGATTTTCTTTCCCTTGTATTTAATGTGTTTCTACATTAGAAAAATATGTATGTCGATGCTTTTTCAGAAAAAATCCTCTAAAACCCAGAATGTGATAATGTGATACAACATCATGACAGGTTTATCTGCATGTACATAAAAATTCATACACAGAATCTTCTATCTGGAAATCATTTATCTAGGTCACTTCTTCATCTGCATCATAAACACACATTTCAGGTCTCATTTAAATAGTGCCACTTCCAGACACCTTAAACATTACTGAAAATCTAAAGACACTTGGCTTAATTTATCACATTCTACTTTAACTTGTTGTCTTCAATGTAAGAGAATTTCTCAATCTGAGCTCTGAGAAACTGAAAGCAGAGAAGAGCTTTGTTCTTAGACATTGTTAACTCCAGGCAGTTACAGTTATTTCCATATCAAATGAGCACAAAACCAACAGTGATAAAAAAAATTCTAATGAACTAGAAAAAGGAAAGTTACTATGGAACATGAAAAAAAGCAGATAGAAATTAATCACTACAAAAAAGGGTGGCATTTTTTCAGTAGTGCTTGAGATATACAAAGGAATTCCCCAGGCAATGTTAAATGCAACACGGATGGCAGAGAAATCAGTTTAAAACAAAGCAATGTGGGAATCCTGAACACAGAGAGAATCCATCATTAAATACTGTCTAACTGTCGACCATGATGGGGCAGAAAGTTTGAGAAATTTAATCCATTTTTGCCTATAGGAGCACTGTAAAAGGTTTCAGCACCATTTAGAGGTTGATGGGAGATTTTAGATGGAATAAGCGGTGATTTTACTTCAAGTCTTGTAAATTTCTGATACTTCTATACTGCTCTGCTAGTGAATTTTTGGTGAAGCAAACAGTGTCTCATGTATATATTGTGACAGAAGCAAAAATCTTTCAAAGACTCAAGAGTAAGTTGCAAACTGTTGGTTAATAAAAATCAAGATTGTCTCTATGAGCTCACATTTTATTGATAATCCAGGTGCAAAGGCCAGACTGCAAAAGCATCAGTGTTTCTGGGTCTGGTATGAACTTCAGGTGGTATTAGGCCATATCATTGTGGCTCCCAGTACAACTAATGCTTTTCTCCTAGCAAAACCAGAGTATAATGATTTGTTATAGATAGAGAATTTCAACAATCTTATAAATCAACTTCTTTTTGCTTTTCATAGGCTTCACTATGTGTAAGTGATAACATTAGGCTGCAGAAAAAACTTGATCACATCTCAAGAGACACACAACATTGCTTTTTCCAACAAAGTATAAGTTTGGTTCTTTGGAAACATTTATCCAAAGAAAGACCTAATATCATCTTTTATCAAACAGTAGTTATTTGGCCAACATCACACAAGTGTAGAAAAACCTGAGGATCATTAATAAGAAATGATCAGACACAAGAGACAATACAGTTCTCACATTCTCCTGGACAGCACCTCTGACTGGAAAGAACTATGTGAGCTTTTTTTTTCATCTGCTTGCCATAATGTCCTCATCGGCAGGCATTAACACAAGCATTTATTTTACAACATTTACTCTGATACTATCTTAGAAATCTTTTATGAGTTACAGAAATGAGCTAGATAGTTTTCTTACTTTTAACATTTCAATGCAAAGATACCAGGATATGGTCAAAGGCACTGCATAATGGCTGCCAAAACAAAGGTATGAACAGACTGCAAATATAATAAAATCAAAATGTACATACAATTAAATAATAATTGTAGGATATAATATGGTTTGAAAACAATGATCACAATTAAATATAGAAGTTGAAAAAATATAATTAAGATATTTTATCAAAAGAATTCAAAGAAAAATTAATAAAATAAATCAGTATATTGGAAAAGATAAAGACAGCAACAACCTGAAAGAGGTAACAGGAAAACAAATTTTAAAAAAGGAACAAGGTTGAAAGTATAGATATATTAAAATCAGAAAATGTGCTTACTATGTGATACAAGCTGGCCATCAGTATTTAATCCTCAGGACCTAGTGAAACAGCTCAGTGGCCCAGTGCCTACTAGCAAGTGCAGGGTACTGAGTTCCATTCCAGATACAAAAACAAAAACAGAAAAAAAAATTGATTTTCTTGGATCAGCTACCTGAATGGTGAATTACAGATTTCTAACACTGTGCCTGCATAATCAAGGTTATTTTAAAGCAAATGAGTATTATTACAGAATTATTATCTCATAATTTTAGAAAGTAGATAAATACAAATATAGAAAATTAAAAGTATAAAGATAGAATAGGCAGATGAGGTGACAAAAAATAAACTATTAAAACAACTCAAGTGGCAGTCAAAAAATTTTCTTACAAATGGCTCTCTCAGTGGGTTTTCAAATGACTCACTGAAACTTTTGGGATACTCATAAAGATGCCATCTGTACATGTACTGATTCCCCAGGAGGAACATTTATTATATGTGGCAAAAATATACAAATAAAACATTGCAATGAAAAATTATAGATTCACCTGGCCATAATCTGCAATATAGTCCTGGTAATACAAAAATGGGCAAGAAATCTCTGTAGTTTACATCATCAGGTTGATGCAATCTTTACCTAAATCCTGACAATATGTTTATAACCACAGTCACAAATATGGGCATAGAAAGTTTGACAGCCAGGATAAAATATTATTTAACAAAATCTCATCTTTGCATGTACCTGAATGGTAGCATGATTCCCTAGCCTGAAATCCCTGAGCTCTACCTAAGCACCACACACAACAAAAATGTGATGATATTACAATTAAGCTGTTTATTCATGTTTTCAATTTATCAAAGTATGCTTTTTTCACTTTTTCAATATATCAAAGCATAGATAATACCATTTTTGTGTTCTAACATAAAAGAAAAATGCATATCATTAAAAATTGAGACAAAAAAAGGGAAAAGAGAATGAAAATGAAAGCAATAAAATTTCAGTGCATGATTGATAAGAAACAAAGATTGAAAAAGTGAGAAAACGACAGGGACACATATGTTGCCAAAGACAAGATTAACTAGAAAATAGTGTTTCACATATTTTTATTACTCATTAAAATGAAGTCAATGTAATAAAGCTACAATATATCAAACAAGAATAGAAACTGTAAATAGGTCTCAAAGTCAGCACACACAAAATGTACAGGGAAAGCTGAATATGTACTATAAAATAATTTGCAGAGGAAATGGCAAAAATGAATGCCTAAAACTGGAAACATACAGTAAAACTATAGAGAAGCAATTAAATTTCATTATGAATCTATGAAATTCATCAAATTAGAGAGGATCCAGTGTTGACTGTTTTAAGAAACAGAAAGAAAAGCCCACTGGCTGTGATAGTATGAATAGTGTAAAGTAAGATTTTAAACAATACAAACTCTATGCATCAGCAAGGAGGCTTCTGAGCATTCAAGGCATTTTCTCAAATCTTGTCTCCAAAAGCAAGTCAGAGCATGTTCCTTGTGGCACCTCTAACAATGACAGCAGTGGAGACGCCTGCTCTACCCTAATTTTGTAAAGGTAAGTAAAATGCTATGGGGACAAACTGGGGAGTCTCTGTGATGAATTACACCTACATACAGCAGTGAAAAAAGTGTAAAAAGTAATACTGAAATAATTACAATACAGGATGAACAATCTAAAACATTCCCATTTGAGCAGTAAAATATATACATGAGATTGGAGTGCAGCCCAGTGGTAGAGCACATGTAGAGGGCTTATTCATATCCATGGCCTAAAGCCAGTGCAAAAATGTACATTAAGCCATGGGGTACAATCAAATCATGATGGTAAGTTGTACAACGTGGAAAGGAAATTCTTCTGTAGCAGGTTCCTTAAGCACAGTACTAGTGATATTTAGCCATTAGATTTCTTTCTAAAACGTCTGTTTCATGTCTTCTGTGACATTATTCAACATCTTTGGCTGCCACTCCTAAGATGCTTCTAAATCTTCCTCATGACCTATGTCATGATTACAAGTAAAAAGCTGAGACATATTTATAGCTTTTCTCATGTGCAGAATTAGCACTGACAAAAATGACTGACGCAAATGCAGTGGACATAGCTCCTGAAGGACCAGGTACAAGAATGAGCAAAGACCCAAGAGCTGCCATATTTCTACCTCTGCACTTCAAACATAGGCTCAATGAGTCAGTCCAAAGTACTATCTGCTTGTTCTTGCACACCCTCCTCTTGTCCTTATCACCTGCACTACATTTCAGATGTCACTAGTGTGAAAATCTACAATAGCCTGCATTGTTGGATTCTTTATGGTGACACCCACAGGAAGCTTCAGACAGACTAAACTCTGCATTGAACTGAAGCAGGAGCTGTATCGCAGCTGTCATGCCATTCCCATAGCCTGAATTGTACCCACATAGAGTGGGCAGGCCCAGAGAACTCAGGGGAATTTCAGAGACTGCAGTCTCTTTTGACTTATGGAACATGTAACTAGTGTTCCTGGTCATCTCTTTACACTGCTCAGGGGAAAGAGCCTTGGAAGTCATGGGACTGGACAAACATGTCTTGAGTCCATTAATATTATAGAAATGAAAGTGGGCTTCCATGAGCAGGCAAACTGGCAAGGCAAGGCAGTTTACCCAAAGTTAAAACAGATAGAAAGTTTTCCAAAATAAGCATGGATTAGAACTACAAATGGAAGTGCTTTATCCTCAGCCAGGCACATGTTTGGTGGTTTGTGTTCAAACTGCACAGGCTCATGTCTGATCACTGAAAATCTCTGCCCTATCACCTTGTTAGGGTCATGGAAGCCACACAGTGTGCACATAAGAATCATCATCATGAAAACAACTTAAAGCAAAGAAGACAACCCAAAATTCGCAGTGTTCCTTTTTCCAAATACTACTCATGTTATTCTTCTGATTCAGTTGTTTTTGAAGAGACCAATTAATACAGCACTCAAAACAAGAAACCATAAGTTCAGTATCGTGTACTATAGAGGACTTTAAGAAGGATTGGACCTAGTGACATTACTAGAGTTAGAAATATGATCAACCCAAATGATGTTGAAAACGAAATATGTTGAATGTGCAAGAATATACCCAATTGAGCAAACATTACTTCTACACATTGGATCCTTTAAGCCTGCTTAACACACTTGCTTAATCTGTGTTGGGGTTTATATAGATAACATAATCCAAATTTCATATTAAAATACTAAAATTTTATGGACTTCACTGAATATAGCCCACTGCAATCACTAGCTGTTTAGCATCAGTGTCCTGTTGCTGAAGAGCAGTGATTCATCAATGCTGTCCTCCATCATAAGCAAGCATTATACTATACACCACCAATGCACAAAAACAATAAAATTGGAAATGTAAAGTAAAATTTTCATTAAATAATTTTCCTGTATTTTTTCAAAAAGTTTTTTACTGGGTCTAGAGAATGTTAAACAAGTTACTGTCTATTGGAGATAAATCCCAGAATTCATATTTTGTATTGAAAGAGGGTTACGCTGACTTCTTCAGGCCAGTTGTTGTAACACTTGTCTCAGTCCCCAAGTGGCTGAGAGTAAAGGTGTGAACTATCATACATCACTGATGTTTACTTTATCCAAGCATTCAAATCTTGGTACATCATGGTGTATAAAAACATCCCAACCTTAAACTGATACAGCGATACACACATATTATAATATACACATTAAATGAGTTACAAATCCTATCAAAAATTCATACCACTTAGGGCAACTTAGGAAGATCAGTTCACAAAAATTTTTAGAAAATTTAAAAACTTAGCTCAGACCAAACTTCTGGAGTTCAATCCCTACAATCATAAACAAACAAACAAGCATGCTGAGCAGGGTGGTGTACACCTGTAGTCCCAGCTCTAATGAGGCTGAGATAAGAAGTTTTTTATGAATTTGAAGCCAGACTGCACTACAAAGTGAGATCCTGCCTCAAGAAACAAATTAATAAATTAATCATCAAGACCATTTGGAAATCTTTGATACACTGGAGATTCCCCCACCATTCTACTTCTGCTACAGTGTCCATAATAAGGATAAAGCAAAACAAAGCCAGGCAGTTTCCTCATTTCATATTTTCCCTCAAAAAAATTCATCAACTGCTCAGTGGCAGCAGAAGGCACAGTTACCTATTATTAAATTCCCCTCCTTTCTTCAAGCCTGTGAGTTTTGCCCAACTCACAGAACAAGCAAGCACACATATCTGCCTACCTAACCATGGATACTTCGATTTCAGGCTTCTCCCCTACTCCATACTAATTTTAAAGTCTATCACAAGCAGCATTTTTAATTTTAATAAAAGTAACAATTAGGTCAAGAACTATAGCCCTTAATTCAGATATTATGCGCTGGTTCCTTTCCACTCCTACCCATATCACACATATATGTCCATGTAAATGCCCCAATTCAAGGTGTCTCTCAATGTGGGTTTAATAGGCACTGCTTCTGAAAGTTGTCTCTGGCAAGTACACCTTTCTCCTTTCTTTTTAAGACTTTGATCTCCACTAAATTTATCTCAGTATTCTAACTCTGTGGCAGAACTCACTTAAACTAATTGTGAATGGAATTGTCAGCTAAATAATTAAAATTTTAAATTTCTTTAGCATTGCTCTGTACAGGGCTCAGGAATTCACTGGCTATTAGCCAAGTGCTCCTCCACTGGAGCACATCACCACACGTTTTTGAAATCTCAGAACATTTCTGAGTACATAATATGAGTTTAGAAATAAAGGGAGGTAGTGGAAATTTACAAGATCAACACAAGGGTTAAAAAGCAAAAGTTTGATGTGTGATTGTGGGAGTGAGAACCTACATCAGAGATATTAATAACCTGCAAATCCTCTAGCCGTGCTGCTAACTGGAATGAAACCAGAGATCTAGCTCACCAGCACTGCATCCAACTCCAATTTTCATCTTAGCCTGGATCTCCTCAAGACTCCTCTTCCCATAATGGTGCAAATGCAAAAGTAGCAATGGGTTTCTCAAGAGGGCACTCAAACTGCCAGTGCAAAGTTGGACAAAGATACTGAGAACTCCAGACCAGTCATGTTCTAGCAATGTCATAATCAGCTGAATTAAATACTAATATTATACGGAGTCAGAGAGGACTAGGCCCTCAATGGAGCCAGTGCAGAAGACCAGCTATCCTGTAACTATAGAAGTAACAAACAATTTTTCCTCTGTGTGCCAGATCTCAAAACAAAAGACAAAACAAACAGGACTGCACCTTTGTATAAACACCAGGAATTGACATTCTCAATAGGTACCCATCACCTTGAGGTAGATGGAAGCCACTAATCCAACTCCCTACAGCAAAGGCCCTCCTCCCCCTTGCATCCTTCCCTATTGGATCTCAATTTCCTCAATTTTACCTGAGCAATTAACTCATAATCTTATTGAGTGACTGTAATTCTCTCCTTCCCATATCAGGCTTCAATGCATTGCGAGTTCCCATCTTCCCCAGCCTCACCTTTTGGTTTTGCTGTTCTAAAATCCCTACAAAAATCGCAATTCTCAGCTGGCCATGGTGGCTCACACCTGTAAAGCCAGCACTCACGAAGTTGAGGCAGGAGTTTCCTTGAGAGTTTGAGACCACCCTGGGCTACAAAATGAACAAGCCCAGCCTGACATGCATAGAGACCCTGTCTCAAAAGAAAAAAAAAAAAAAAATGTCGCAGTTGTTGGAATCCGGACATCTGGTCAGCAGTGAGTTTCTTTCCCTTCTATCAGCAAGGGGGAAAGGAACAAAAATGGACTCAGTACCCATCTCACATTACATCAGGATCTCGAGCTTGAAAGGATTTTGCTCTGAAAATGACTCTGCAGTGGTGGGAGGCTGGGAGGGAGAACCAAGGGGCTCTGTCTTGAGGTCATCTTCCCAGGCCCTAGGCAATTTAGCAGTGGTGCCAAATGAATTCCAGTGGGCTACTTGTGCATCAGTAATGCCCACTAGGCACCACCTCAAACCTAAACTATACATATTCCCCCACAACACGTGCCCAGCAGAGAGAAAAGCCAGTCCTCAGTGGTCGTGGGGTTCTCTCTCCGCTATCTTAAAATAAAGTTCACTTTTATTTCCTATTTCTATCTTTTTAATCACGCCAAAAATTCTGTCAGAGCTAACGTGGGAAATTCAAGAACCACAGTAAGGTTTTTTTCCCCCCCCCTTTGGTACCAGAATTCAAACGCAGGATGTCGCACTTTTCCGGAAGGCACTGTGCCACTGAGCTATATCCCAGGCTTTAAGCCACCACAGTTGGTTTGGTCCAATTCTGACTGCACCTCTTCCAGATTCTGCCCCACTTCCGTCTTCCCGTCCCAAAACGTTACCATTGCGCAGCTTGAGGGTCTCCTAGGGTATTTCCTATACAAGCTGTAGGTTGTAGAGTTCACAAAAAGCAGCCCATTCAGCTAGGGTGCACCCTGCAAAGTGCCAAGGGAAAGTACTTCAGCGCCATGACACCGGAAGAGCCCTCCCCCTTTGCCACCTCTGATTGGACAGTTTATACAGTTTTCTCCTTTTTCATTGACTGACTTACGTTCTATTACCCGCCCTCTGAGCCAACCGGGAAAAGAGAAATAAATCTTTACCTGCAAGAGTGGGGCTCAGGTCTAAGACTTTAATGCTGCGACTTCTGAACCAGGTTCTCTTATAAAATCTTAAACTCATCTTGCTTGCCTAATGACACTTGCATTTAAAGACTTTATCCCGAAGTCTCAGAGTTGACGCTATTTTCTTACTGGGATCAGTGGAGACTCTTCTTGAACATGGGTAACAGTTGTGTTCATAAGGTTCTGATATAGGGGGATGAAACCCCAACCTTCTGAATGTCAGGTATGAGTTTTTGTTATCTAAAATTAAGTTTAGAAACAACAGAGATTAATAGTGGAATATATTCATTGAGAGAAAGATTCTGTCTGCAAGATAGAAAAGGAATCGAGTGGATTGCTGAACACTCTCTTTTTTAGGGGCTTACATACAGCAAAATCATGAGGTTAAATGGGTCCAAGTTGAGGGAAATGGAAACTGACAAGGCAGGAAAAAGCTGTCGTCAACTAGTAAAATAAATGGCTCGGGTACAATTGATTAAATTTGAAACAAATGGAGTGACTCTCCTAGTAAGCGGGCACACTAAGCAGCACTGGCTGTTCTTGTAGGGGTGGGGATATTGACTCCTAACTTCCTCAGGGTGATAGAGAATTATGTGGACTGTTGATATTTAGGTTGTGGTTGTATTTGCTCTGCCTTTTGTCTTGAGATCTGGCCCATAAGAAGAAGAGCTTGTCTATTACAAGGCTGCAACAAGTCTGAACTTCTGCTCTGGCTTCTTTGAGGGCTCATCCCTATCTGACCATCTATATTATGTCTAACTAACTCAGCTGCCTTTAACAGTTCAATGGCCAATAGTCTAGTAAAGAAGCAATCTCCCTATGTCAGAAAACAACCTGAATCCAGGTCAGCCCAGGACACAGTAAAACAGAGGGACAACTGATTAATTTGAAAGATCAATATTTGGGAATGACATAACTGGCTTCATTCTGAAGATTTTTACACTATCTCTTTCCATCTGTTAACTTGCAGGTGAAAAAAATGAATATTTGACCCATAAAAGGAAAACAAAACATCAAGATTAAATCATAGCAGTATTCTCTACAAGAGAGAAAAAAAAAAAAAAAAAAACATTTCACCTCTTCCATACAAGATCGCTGCTCATCTTCACCGCAAAAATGAACAGATGATGTGAACAAATTTTTTAGGACTTTTTTTTTGTCTTTATGAGACAAGGTCTCTATGCAGTTCAGGCAGGCCTTGAGCTCACTTTGTAGCCCAGGCTGGTCTCAAACTCACAACAATCCTCTGGCCTCAGCCTCCCAATGCTGTGATTACAGCCATGAGCAACTATGCCTGGCTTATGTTTTAGGAATGATGATGTATGAAAGTAACAGGCACACAGTTATGGAAGATAAGCAAATGAAAATGAGCAATGGAATTTAACTTTCTGTTTAGAGAGTTCATCATATTAAAAAATGGCCAGGATATGTAGCCTAGAAGTAAATATTATCCCTCACTACTAGCAGAGGAAAGAAGATGTGAATTTAAAAATACAATGGTGAGTATTTTTACCATTCACCTGCAATGTGAGCTGTTTAGAAATCTTGGGCATGAAGATCACATGTTCCAGTTGAGTCTGAGTCATGTAGTAATGCTTTGTTTTGAAAAAAATACACATTTTCAAGTTTTTAATTGCATACAAACTTTGTAGGGTTGTAAACATACTCCAAGATGTCTGTGAAATGTTCTCAAATACTCTAGGTTTCCACAAACAAGAGGTCTGCAGAATTTATTTATTTGAGTGGAAGAACTGGAAAAGGCTGCTTTCTCATTGCTGGAGAAAATACATATAAGATGTTGTAAAGACAACAAGTAGTGACCCTGGCAAGAGTAAGGTTTACATACAGTAATGCAAACAAAGAGCTAAATGAGATGAATTGAGAAAAGGCTTCACTACTTAAATTTGTGCAGATTAAAAATTTGAAACTGGATCTCTCAGTAAAACTCATGTGTACTGCTCTGAATTCTCTAGATTCAGTAGGTAACATGATAAAATTGTACATGAAGTAATGTCCTGTAATCTGATAATGATGAGAAGGGATTGATGGCAGAATGAAGACTCACATGCAACAATGTTCCTAGTGACATGGGGGCCAAGATTTTCTTAGGATAGAGGTATTTCATCTGTAGTGCAATAATGAACATCATACATAACCCCCACCACCGCAAAATGTCATGTGCAACCAGGTCAAGAGTCCCCATTGTCAATATCTGAAACCAGGAAAGTATCTCAATTGTCAGTCTCAAGAATGTGGTGAGGAAACTAAAATAAAATACAGAGAAAAGCCTAATGTTCCAACAATGGCTGGGAAGTCAATATATCTGGATCTAGCTTCCTCATTCCCAAAGAAGCCCCATTTTATTTGGTGCACCCAGTCATAGGTGGGGCTGATAAAGGATTGCAATTCATCATTAAAGTCATACTCAAGAATGTGTAGATAATCTTATGCTCAGAATTATCTTGACCTTAATTTTAATCCTGAGATGACTCATGAAGATTTAGATGAACTTTTGCTCAGAGGAATCAATGGAAATCTCAGACAGGTGGTACCAATAATCACAATTCTTCTGTTTATCCCATAGAAAAATAGGTAAAATTTTCCATTCTGAATTTATGATCCCCAACAAGATGCTGTTGGGGACCATTATGAAGCAGATCTGAGCAAGATTTAAATTTTACTAATTGGCTTTCTATGTTTATCTGTCAGTCTGTCCTAGACCTTGGCCCCTTGCCTGGTGACAGGAGCTGATTCATAGCAAGTGAACCTCTATGAATCACTGGTCCTAGTTGAGGTCTGTAGTGCCTGTGAGGGCAGAGATACCTTAAAGGGCAAGGTAAGGTCACAGCTACAGACACTTGGCTCAAACCCCAATTAACAATTTAGAGATTGTAGCTGCAAAAATTACTCTTACAGTCTCACTTCTAACATGTCTTCATGATAAGACAGGGCTACTAAGTTAAATAGATTCATGTCATGGAGATGTCCTTGAAGTGACTCCTAAGGTCCTGCTCATTGCCTGGGCTTTCCTCAGTCTCTCTGCCCTTTGTCCTTGGTCCTAATATAAGTGAACTCATCTAGAAAATCTTTTTTCTTAACCGTCAGTCTTGAACTTAATTATGGAGTTCTGACCCTCCTGGAACCCTAGAAATCATACAATTTGTCTCTTTTTCTTTTTGACCTCTGTCATACTCTCATTTAGGAGATCAGGGATCTATGCGAGGACCTGATAAGATGCCAGTAACATTCACTTATAATCTTACATAAGAGCAAAAAAAATTGAGATAACATGTTTGTGTAACTCTGACTAGTCACTTTTGTAATTAAGTGTTGTGTAGAGAAAAATTAGAATCAGGACATGGAGCTTATAATATTGTTTTACGATGGTTACCCACAGTTAACACAATAAAATGCTTGAAATCTATCCACATCACCAAAGACATAGAATATTTAGCCAAGGGCCTGAATCCCACAGCAATGTCCCACAAGAGCCCAGATAAAGACCAAAAGCTAATTACAATGCCTTCCATGAGTCAACTGGAGGTCTAGATCCCACAAGAAGGACTTATGCCAGTCTCTTTTATGGATCCATGCTGGGAAGGCCCAAAAGTCAGTGGTGGAAGCTAGAAAGTCTATTCCAGGAGGGTGAGGTGCTGTGCTGGTAGGTTGAGGGAACAGAAAAATCACACACACAACAATGATCAGGGCTGTCCTTAAAAGCAACACAGCCGTCCTCAGCAACATGCAGGCCCCGAGCTCCTCTAATGACAAGCAGTCAAGTACATGCCACGAAGCCAGCATGATGAGTTCATCCTAGAGACCAAGTGCCACATGTCTTCCCCTCTGGAGCTAGGAAGCAATGCTCAATATGAGGATCAGAGCTTCTCCAGGAGAACTTAATGGCTCAAATAACAACACATAGAAGAACCCACAATGCCTCAATGCCTCAAAACACCTCAATTCAACAGCTTCTTCTTCACATGTCTATTTATGCTGGAAAATTTCCTTTCCAGCTGTTGTTAAATTGATCACCAGTGTTGAATCCATAACATCATTGAAGTTCACTCACTTACCAATCATGTTGGAAACATAAGCTGTCTATTGACAAGGTATTTGAAAGGGAAAACTAACAACGCTGAGTTCTGCCTACCTGGGTGTAGCTCTGCAACTGAATCACAAGGTGTAGGAATCTGTCACATTGTCTTGCATTCTCTCTTTCCTAGCTCTTCATCATCTGGGCTGCCATACATTAGCAAAGTAAAAGAGGCTTCACTGAATAAGGCTGAGAGTTGAGACAGGTTGCAAATTGTGCAGGGATTTCTAAGAGGTTCTTGAAACTGAAGACTCATCACTTATTCCTGATGTCCCTTTCTCTAAAAACCATTGCCATTGACTCTACCAAGATGCCAACAGGGCAGGGTTTTCCTCAGGCTACTGTAAATACAGGAGGTACATAAGGAGATTCCAGATACTACAGTCTCTGTCATTATATAACACATTGAAAAGCTTTATGCGTAACTCTTTGCTGTTCTGTCAAAGGTCCTGTTCTCTTGTTGCTGCAACAAAATACATGATGTGCAAAATTAAAGAAGGAAAGGTTTATTTAGCTCAGAGTTTGTGGATATTTCAATCCGTAATCAGTTGGCTTTAATGCAGGATGAAATGGCACAGGGAAACAGCTCAAGTTGCCAGAAGTCAGCAAAAGTGACAAAAGCAAAATGTTGGATGGGGATTCAAACTTCATTTCTTTCCTTATATGATAAAGCAGGTCAGCCCTCCCTATGGTGAGTGTAGCTAGCATTCACACACTGTCAATGCCCTCCTGTTGTACAAGATGAAGATGCTTATATACTAACAACCCCAGCT